AAAATTTCTTGGGCCAATTTTTACCCCATTCTCCCTCCAGCGAACAAATGCGATCCCGTTCTGGGGATTCCCCAGCGTAAGTGTTCTAAAGGAAACTGTTGCTCCTTCAAGTAACCTTAAGCGCATTGACGGCCAGGCAAACGAGTTCCCTTATACCCTGGGTGGTAACAAACAATAATGTGATAAAAAATAGAGCAGAAACTACCTTTCTGAGACCACTCTTTCTCTGCGGTGGTAAACCGTTCTTGATTTTCAGCAGATGTGTCATGATTTCACGTTCATTCAACTCTTCTTTCGTTAAGGTGCCTTTAATTGAGGAAGATTAATTTTGAGAACATTGAAAATTGACTACCACGAGGAGAAAAAAATCAGAAAAATAATCACTTTCATCCACGTCCATCAGCAGCTTGTCGAAGTATTGCATGTCGTCAGGCTTTAGCGGGGGAAGATCCTGATTTTTTGGTTGCGTGTCGAGAATCCCACCAACACCTGGAATTGTATAGCTCATTATCCACGAAAACAAACAGTTAAAGATATGTCAGTTAACGAATCAAAACTGAAACGCTTTCACTACTAACCTCTGTCACCGAGTCCTTCACGTTCAGGTGTTCCTTGCATGAAAAATCCACCTGCCGCAAGACCACCGAGCGGGGTAGGTGTTGCCATGAGTTTCCGTGAAGGAGTCCTCAAAGGCATGTAACCCGCAGGTGGAGGGAGGATCTGAAAAATACGTGAAAATACCCATTCTCTTCCGTTTTATCATGAAGTTGGTTCAGATCATAAAATACCTTGTATCCCGGAGGAAACAATGCATCCAGCTCGTCATCCGTAAGAGTGCGATTGCGTTCATCAATATCCTTCTCCCATAAAAAGTTTTTCATCTGATCTGGCGTCATTGGTACTGGCCACAGCTGGTGTCTTCATAACCATTGCCGGTGTTCCTAGCGGAGTTGCTCCTCCTGGCGTCAATGCTCCAGCCTTAACAGGAATTACTGGCTTTTAGGGAAAGCATCACTTCAAAATGAATTTAACTGACAGGTGTACTGTGGCTCGGAGTGAAAGACGGCGTGACAGGCACCAGGTTGTGGAGTCACTGATCCAGCTGCTGGTGTCTGCGACGGCGTCAAATCCCATCGTGAGCGACGTTTTGAAGCCGATGGTGTATCTTCCACCTGAATTACGTACATTGCGATGCAGAAGAAATTTACAAAATAATATTAATTACAAGCAGGATGCGTTCATAGTTTGCGTCAACTTTCGAGGACTGGGAAAGTATAGATTGATCAAGCGTGCTGAGCGTTTCGCGGGTAGTGTTCAACTCTCCTCGGACAGTCGTTGAAGTCGCCGGCATACGCTCAAAGCGCTAGATCGACAACCATATTTTCCTATTCGCTCAAAGCTGCGCAAAGTATGAACGCAGGCTCATGAATATCCATTTAGTTGACCTTACCTTAACATCATCTGCTGCACGAGCAGGAGTGTCCATTCCCCAACCAGGAGTCATTCCACCGGCATCACGAACACTCTCACGAGGTGTTTCATCCCAACGGTTCCTCCTTGGAGTTTGTGTTGATGGAGTGGTGTCGAACCTAAAGAGACCATTCAAACTTTGACATTCTCAACAGAGGAAAAAAAAGACTAAAACTTTCACATTTTCAACAGAAAAAAAAGTTAAATACCTATTCATAGAAGGCGTGGCATCAGTGGCATTAGCATGAGCTGGAGTTTCCTCCCATCGAGCTACATGTGGTGTAGCAGCCTGAAGAACGGAACTTTACGAAGTACACCGCTATGAAGTCATGCTGAACAAACAAGTGCCCAATTCCAACAATTAATTTCTCCTTACGTCTGCACTAATACTGGAAATTCCCAAGCGCTTTCGAGGAGCAGCACCTGGAGTTGCATCTGACGGTGTGGCAGATCCAGCGCCGAGAACCTAGAAAACATATTCGCTCATTTCTCGAGATACACTTTGAGGCATTTCTTCCTAAAAATGAGGATCCCAACCTCTCGATTGGGAGTTTCGTCCCATCGTCCTTTCTTACGTTCAGGTGCAGCCACTGATTGCAGATCACCTGATTTATGACGATCCGTGAGTTCTTTCTCAAGCTAAAAAAAGCTCTGGCAGTGGAATTTTGCAGTACCATACAAAAGAAATACGCAAACCTTTCCCTTCTCCTCCTTGTATTTCTGTTCTTTCATGATTTCCGCATAATCGCGGTTCCTTTGATCGGGCGTTTGGTCAACTAAACAGAAAAAGGTTCACTACCAAAGAGACACTGAAATGAACACAAAGAAACCCCAAGCACAAGGGACGACAACAGGTTTGCCAAAAAAATGGGGTCAGGGCAATTCTCGCAACGCTGGCTCAACACTTTCCACTCTTCGGGATATCATATGAAAGCTGATTAGTCTCAATTCTCGTATCCTTTCCCTCAGCAAAGTGTAGTTAATTCATCCGAACAACATTGAAACAAGAGGGCGCTGCACGGCTCGGGAGGGGCATTTTGGGCTTTCGCTAGCTCACATTTCAAGTCTCATCTTGATGAGACCTGCAAGCTCTTGTGAAGCTGAGAAATGATACAAATGAGCCAATGAGCCACTTTGGTTACGAGAATTTAGAGGTCTTCACAAGATGGCCTTGCCGAGCATCATTTGATGCCCTCGCCAAGCCGAACTGTGCCAACAATAGCTATCGTGAATACAAACCCGTTGTCAAAATTTGGCAAATCGTAGTGAAACTCACTAAATGCATCAACTCTGTCTGGAGAGATGGCTCGATGTCGAGCACGTTCGGCATATTTGGATGCTTGCCGTTCTATTATTGTCTTTGTGCGGGTTTCAGCAAATGGGTCGCTGTTCTGAAAGGATTGCGATTTACCGAGAAACCAAATTTTAACTAATTGTAATTCAAGCAGAAGTAGCACAGGTACGCGACCCAGTACGTTTCCTTTCAAGAGAATAATGAGGTATTATAATGACAGGCTCTACCGTCGCTCGAACAAAAGTTTCTTTTTTCCGGTTTTTCCCTATTTTTGGTATTCTAGTGTCATGGAGAGGCCTTAAAAACCGCCTAGCGGACACTAGCCCGCCGATTTGCATCATTTTCGAAAAGTGGGCGGGGCTTCCCCAAAGTGGGCGGAGCTTCCATTGGTGGGCGGAGCCAATCGCTAAAGCCTAAAAAAGCGAAAATCCGGAAGAAAAACCAAAATTCCGCGATAAACACAAGTGGGCGGGGTCAGAGGGGCGGGCCTGGTGTGCTGTGCATGGTTATTCGTTTTGTGAAGATTGGATGTGAAAAGAACTACGTCGAAAAAAGTTATAAAAATTCAGAACTTACGTAACTTCATTGTTAAGTGGGCGGAGTCAGATCTGTATAGGTATCAATCTTTTTCAGTTGAAGTGTGTGTGCAAAGGGCAAAAACGAAAAAAAGTCGAAGGGAGCAGATTTCATGAAGCATCTCGGAAAACCCTGTCCGCGCTGAGAAGTGGGCGGGGATAATGGGCGGGGCTTGCAACAGTACCTAGTGTGGTCTAGTTATCAACCACCTAATTGTAAGGGGTGTGTCCGATTTGATTTGAAAAGTGTCCGATTTGGTTTGAAAAGTGTCCGATTTGATTTGAAAAGTGTCCGATTTGATTTGAAAAGTGTCCGATTTGGTTTGAAAAGTGTCCGATTTGATTTGAAAAGTGTCCGATTTGGTTTGAAAAGTGTCCGATTTGGTTTGAAAAGTGTCCGATTTAAAGTGAAAATGGTATATAAACTGGAAATACGTCTCTTGCGTGGCCGCATCGTCGGTCCCGTGCAGCACACATCCAATGAAAGTCTCCCACAATGATGTAGGATTTTCTTTAGTTCGTGAGGACGTCCCCTCTGTAAAGCCGTGCAAATTTTGGCGAAGGTACGAAATGGCACGGTTTTGGGTTTTCTTGGGAGCATGTTTTTGGGAATGAGCAAAATAAGCCAATAAAAGTGGAAGCAATGCGAATAAGCTGCTGTCCAATTACGAGACATGAGATTTATCAGCCGCAGGAAAATATCTGTTCACCCATGGCGCGTCTCCATCACGGGTTTTGATGCACCCCATTTTTGTGGTAGATTACAGACAGTAGAAGAAATACCCATCGGGGTTCGTACATTAGTTCGCTAGAATGGGGTCCTATTTGGTCGGTGCGGGATGATGTCTGACTTTGAAAGATATTATTATCGAATGTTTAGTTATTTCTGCCAAACGAGGTTTTTAGATAGAACCGTTCTATCTAAAAACCTCGTTTGGCAGAAATAACTAAACATTCGACATCATGCCGAGGTTACAAGAAGGGAGAACTTGGAGATTATTATTATTATTACACCAGTCGCCTCGCCGGGGCTGACGCCGGCGCGGGCTCCTTCTGATACGGCCCGGCTGCGCCGGGCGGGCGCGGCTTCGCCGCGCGTACCTTCTCTCACATATTTCTAGACTCAACTGATATCCGCCTTTTGTTCTGTACTCTACTTTTCTCCGGTGTCTGAAGTACTCTTGAGCTGTTTTACAAATTCTTCGTCTGACTCCGCCCACCTCAGAGCAGACCCGCCCTCAATTTTTGTGCCCCGCACTCTTCACAGGCGACCCCCTGCTGACCTTAATCCACTTTTTCCGGTGTCTGATGTGTTTGTTCTTGGACCGTTCTGCAGAGTTTTTATCTGGCTCCGCCCACGAAACAGGCTCCGCCCCAATTTTTGTGCCCCACAATCCTCATTGGCGACCCTCTGCTGACCTTGATCCACTTTTTTCCGGTCTTCGGAGTGCTCTGGGAGAGTTTTGGAGAATTTTTGTCTGGCTCCGCCCAACTCGGGCTGGCCCCGCCCACAACATGTATACCCCACATTTCTTAATCGGCGACCCCTTGCTGACCTGAATTCACTTAATTCCGGTCTTCGGAGTGCTCTTGAACCGTTTTACAGACCTTTTTGTCTGGCTCCGCCCACCTCGAAGCAGGCTCCGCCCACAACGTTTTTGCCCCACGGTCCTCACCTTCGACCTCTGCTGACCTTAATCCACTTTTTTCCGGTCTTCGGAGTGCTCTGGGAGAGTTTTGGAGAATTTTTGTCTGGCTCCGCCCAACTCGGGCTGGCCCCGCCCACAACATGTATACCCCACATTTCTTAATCGGCGACCCCTTGTTGACTGACTTGCTTTTTTCCGCGTCTTCGGGAGTTGCTCTGGCGAGAGTTTTGGGAATTTTTGTACTGCCTCGCCACTCGGTGGCCCCCCCAATTTTCGTGCCCCACAATCCTCACCGGCGACCCTCTGCTGACCTTAATTCACTTTTTTCCGGTCTTCGGAGTGCTCTGGAACCGTTTTACAGACCTTTTTGTCTGGCTCCGCCCACCTCGGAGCAGGCTCCGCCCACAATGTTTTTGCCCCACAGTCCTCACCGGCGAACCTTTGCCGACCTTGACGCACGTTTTCCGGTCTTTGCAGTGCTCTGGAACCGAGCTACAAACTTTTAAAGTGAGTATCCTGCGGTTTAGGGCAAGCTCCGCCCACTGTGGGCGGATCTCAACACACTTTGGGCATGCCCAATACTCGCCAGATATTTACATTCTGCACTGAGCTTTTTGCGGCTTCTGAACACTCTCGCGAACCGAGTTACTGAGTTTTATGCGAAGCACCGCCCACCTTGAGTACGCCCCGCCCATTTTGGATGTGTCTGCCACAGTTAGTCTGGCGACTCCTTACTAACCTTATTCCCTTGTTTCACCATCTTAGGCTGCTCCGGAAGCGAATTATGAACATTTTTCTGTGGAAACCCAAAATTTCAGTGAGTGCCCCGCCCAGTGGCGGGGTTCGCATTAGAGCAAGTGTGCTTTTATTTCTTGTCCCATGCTCTACCCATC